GGTATTACTTTATGTATTTTCTAACCATGACAAGAATATTAAAATGAAATTGTGTTTGTAATTGTGCTATTATTTGTATTTTCTAACCATGTCGGTTTTTACTTCTAAATCAAAACTGTGTATAAACAAAAAAAAATCACTTCATGATGTTGGGTGGTTAAGATATTATATAACTCGTGCTTCCTGAATCCTACTTCCGCGGCTCTTTTTTCGTTAAGTGTATACCCTTAGCAATGATATAACCATAACAAGATCAAGCTCTAGCACATCATATCAACTCAGTTAAAATATCAAAACAGAAACATATACTTTTGAATGAGGAATCAATAAAAATTGAGAGAGAAAATCACAGCTTTCACAAGATTACATTTTGAATATTCATCGCATGATGCACTTTGGATCGTTAATGTAAAACTGTACTAGATTCCATGCAGAACTTGTAAATATTAATTAATAAATATTCAAGCACGAAGGAATTTGGAAAATTAAAATGTTAATACAACAAAAGGAAGACAAAATCGTGATTACCTAATAAGTACTCCATTCGACAAGCTTGTCATTGTTTAATTGATTGCACATTTCGAAACGTACCAAATAATACTTTGAACTTTAAAAATAAGTTTGTTAGCTATTGAGATAGCACAAAGGAAATTAAAAAAATATTTTTTCAGGAAAACAAAAGAATTGAGGAAGATAAACCCATTGCATACATTGAATTTCAAATCAGCATGTTGATATAGTAACACCATCTGTTTAGGGAATTTGACTTTTGCTCTACCATATTAATAGTATTAAAGCTATTATAGAAAAAAAACATATGGAATAAAATATATCTTGGTTTTTTTCAACACATGTATATCATTATGATGTTGTCATTGCATACGTGACTGTACTTGATCACGTATATGTTTCTATTAGATTGATCGAAGAAGGATCTGAAAAGGATTCTGTAATGACTGATGACCGATCTTTGACGTATTATTGACTCAAAGGACTTGATTATGAAAAAAAATTGAGCGACTGTGAAAACAAACTGAATTTGCAACTCCACCAATCAAACTTAACCTTAACAGATTTGTCGGATCAATATAGGACCATAGCGTCGCGTAATAAAGTTTGCTAAAAATAATTAGCACAACCGTTTAAAGTACATGAAGAATTTTAAACTGACTATTGAATATTTAGATAGAAGAAACTAATAATTCTATAATCTTGGGTTGCTTTCATACGACATGGGCTGTTTCCATACGAAATTAAAGCATATGACGGAATCAAATGATTCCTCTTTCAGCCAATAAAAGAGCAGCATTTGTATGAATTGAAAATCTACTGTGTATATAATTGTTTAACCTATTACCAGATGAAATTCTTTGTGCAGGGATTGTGTCAGGAAAAAATTATCGTGTAAAGAGACAAAAAGTTTATCATTTATTTCAAGAATAATATGTGATATTCTTTTTTTTATGACATTAAAGGCGAAACAAGGAAGGGAATCTGCTAATGAGACATGGAAATAGAATACGTCATCAAAAGATATGAAAAAAAGCATTGATTGATTGATTGGTGTTTAACGACACTTTCAGCACTTATATGCTATTTCGTGGCGGTCAGTTTTCATTGGTTGAGGAGGTCGGAGTGCGCGGAGAACCAACAACCTTTGGTACGAAAAAATAAAAATCCTAGTCTATTAAGATTGGAGTCGATTGCACCTGCCACGTTCGAGATTCGAACTCACAACCTCAATGTTGACAGGCTAGTGATACAGTAATTTAACTACCCGGACAATTTAGCCACCGAGACCCGCCAAAAATAACAATTATAATTCTTATTTTCATTAAATTATCTTCTTATTTTCTCTGTTTAATCTGTGTTGTATTATTTTTATGCATTTTTCAGATTTTTGCCCAAATTACCTTCCAATTTCTACGGCAAACAAGCTTTTCTTGCGGCTTTTCACATACAAACGTGTTTGCAGTTATTAACTTTCTCAATCAGTTATATAGAATTATTATATTCTACTTATTTAAGCTAATGCATTTTCATTTATACAAGTACGGAAAACAGAGATTAAGATAATATGACCTTCATACGACCGTCACCATATTGATAATATCGGCCGTCATTTGCATTGATCAGCATGTGTGCACGACATAAGTAAAGTTGGGGTTCGTACATATTTTGTTTTTTTAGAGATGTCAGAATTGATATGCTTTAAGATAATAGCTTCGAAGGTCAAATGAGAAAAAAAAACATCTGCAATTACCAAAAACAATATTTGTGTGAAAACAAAATAACAAAATTGTCGGTTGATAAAGTGTTTGTTTAAATAATATGCAGTTTGTACGATAAACCTAGATTGCATTATTATTGACAATATAAAAGTTGTATTACTTTTGACCAAATCAACCTACATAATGGGAAAATCCTTTTCAGGACGATAAGAAAATCCTGCCCTCTTTATTATTGAAAGACAAGCTCTAGTACGGAATGTTCAGCTTTTACTCCTAAATGCCAATTTTTTTTTTGGAGAATCAATATCAATTGAATGGTTCCTTCCAAACTCAACGCAAATCCTTCGTTTGCAAAAAACCTTATATTTTTCCGTTTGGTTAGCAAGCAAAATTGCAAGATACGTTTTCTGGATTTTCGTTTCAAAGTACCAATCATGGAAAACAAACGTACAAAAAAATGTGCTTAACGTACGATTAGACGTTCAGACGTTTGTTTTCCAGACAAAAAATACATATACCTAATTGATGTTATACTAAACAGTAATTCACCAAAGATAACATATTTATACATGTTATAATTTGATATGCCAAACGCGCGTTTTGTCTACATAAGACTCATCAGTGGCTCTCAAATCAAAATAGTTAAAATAAATATTCAATAAAATATCGCTGTTGGACAATTTAACACTATTTTGAACGTTTTATTTATGTTTTACGGCTATATACCATTATTTAACATCCGTATTTCATCCGTGGTATTTCACGATTGTGTCCTTTTGACCGATCGTGGATTCGCATGCCGGATGATGCAAGAATAGTAAGAGATTTTTGATTCCGAGCTATTTATTTAGAGTTGTTTGTTCCTTAATTGATTTGTGATTTATAATCATCGGTACATTACTGACGCCTAAATTTACATTTGAAATATAAAATATTGCATGTCAGTTTGAACACCTGTTATCCCCTCTTGTTTTCACGAGGGACGTTATTGTCCAAATCTATCGTTGTTTGTCTCCATTGTGTATCAGCAGCATTTTTGTTGTTCAGTTCACTTTCCTTGTCTTGCATTTGTCTCTTTTGTGTTTCGTTTCTTTAAACACCAATTTTTCCTTCCGTTTTTTTATATTTTTAATTCTGTATTTTCTAATTACCTTTATACAGTATATTGCATGAATGTTATACCGATTGATGTTACTTGAAAACCCTACTTTTTACGCATCCCCAAATTAATTTTCATACTATTTCCATCAATAACGATTTTCATGTTATTCGGTTGTCGTGACATTTGAAAAAAAATAAAAACGTTTCAACACGTAGAATTGAACCTTCTAGCTATTCTTAGAGACACAAACAATATTTTACGTATAAAGTTTGGAAAACATATCAACAAAACAAAAACAAAACAGTATGTGTCTTATTTTATAACTTAGTGCTCTTTTTGTTATGTTGGTATTGATGGCAGATTTTTATTTTTTTTTTAAGATTAATTCCCAATTGTTGTAGACTTCCGACGACTTAGAACCTGGCTAAAATAGATATCTGTCTATGTTTTTAATTCTTTAAATGGCCAAAACATGTTTGTTTTGTTATTTTAGTCGTTGTGTTGCTGTCTCATGGAAATGTTTCGTACATCTTTATATATAATGATGGTAATCTTTATCCTTTATTTAATTGGAAACGGGGAATGTGTCAAAGAGACAACATCCCGACCAGAGAGCAGAGAACAGTCCACGGCCACCAATGTGTCTTCAACACAGCTACAAAATCCCGCACCCGGAGGCGGGCTTCAGCTGGTCCCTAAACGAAATGTATACTAGTTCAGCGAAATGGACACCACACTCACTAAACTCCGAAACATACCAATGAACCAATATATAAAAAAACACACAAGACTAACAAAGGCTAGCGGTTCCTGAATAAGGACAGCCGCAAAAATGCGGCGGGGTTAAACATGTTTTGTGAGATTTCAACCTTCCCATAACATATATATATGTTATACATACATGACTGAATAAAGGTAGAATGTTTTGCATGGAAATTTTCACAGCTACTATGTACTATACACAACTGATATGCTAATCATTACAGTAAGTTCAATGCATAATGGAAATGTGTTTTTCTTTTGAAAATTCCATTAACAATCAGTTGTTAATAATTTGTATAGTTTATGTATTCTAAATAGTGTATCAAATCGCAGCCGCAAATCTTTATTCCAGCCGATCTGATCGTTTGGCAATTTCATTGTTTTTAACGTTAAAGTTCCAATATGTAAACATTTTATGTCATATCCCTTTAAACAAGTTTTTGTCTCCTACATACCTGGTCAGGTTCATTCTAGAAAAGCTGATTGCTGATCTATTGACCTTTTCCAAATGACTTGTTTTATGCACGAGAAATTTACGAGGACGTTCTTAGTATAAATAAGAAAAAATAAAACTGACTGAGACAAGGTGCGTACTTTGATCATTATACAGAACAGTACACATCACACACCTTCATAACAGTACACATCACACACCTACATAACAGTACACATCACACACCTTTGTGTAAACTATTTATTTATTAAAGTTTTTTTTTCAGATTCCCGATAAAACCTTGTTTTTGTAAAACTGTAAATATTAGACTACTATATTATGTGTTAAAATTATACATAAAGCTTACTTTTTAAAGATATATTTCGAATTCAATTTTGGGTTAGTATTCATACATGCTTTTCGTACATGGTTTTCTTTTGCATAAAGTATGTATTGAAAAAATAGTCTTACAATATGTTTTACCAATATTTTATTGAAGCCTATTAACAGCTCTCACTTTTCATTGATGTATAAAATCATAAAATCTGACACTAGTGTTTTTAAAACGTAAATTGTCAATTAGTAGCAGTTTAATGAGCTCACCGTGGACTTTTTGATCCGTTTGAATTTTATAATATTGTACATACTCTATACACTTTCTTTATATTTCCTTTCAAATACAGGAATAAAGATCTTCGTCGCTTTTTTCAAAGTACCACCAATTGACATCACTGGTAAGATCAGCAGATATTGATTTGGTATTGAAAAGTCTACATACATCATCTTTATAATTATATCCTTTACAATGCCAATTTTTCAAACAGGCGCTCGAGCAGGACATTTGACTTCTTGGCAAAAACTCTAATAGAACATCACTTGTCGAATTTCGCATTGTATTTCCTAGAAATCGGGAAGTCATAGATCGGTAACATATTAAATCATCTGTAAGAAAGAAAAAAAATTATAGGAAGTGTATATTTGCTTTTCCTTCTATGTGTTTGTTTTTCTTTAATTGTTTTCCAATTTTCTTTGTTAAAACCAATATAAACAATGTGAGAATTTTCGTCGTAAATTCTACAATAAAGCCAAGAAAGTTATAAAACATTGAAAGCTACAGGCATTGTTCATTTATAAATCACACAAATAAAAATAAATCGTTCTTGACAAAGAGTTTTATTAAAAAATCTCTTTTGTCTTGTATTTTTTTCAATGGCGATTACAAACGTCAAATCATGTAATTTTCGTTTTCAACTTCGTGTTGTGTATAGTTCAGCAGCAAAAGAAAAATGCGTCTTCAAACTATTGAGTACTAACGAAGTCTATTACATATGTCAATCTCAACATCTGACTGCATCTATACAACTTATGCATTTTAAAGAATGCTCTCTTAATTTCGTAATTTCTTTTTCTATATTATATAATTGGACATATTTACCTTGCCTTGTACAGATATCGTTCATAATCTCCCATTTAAAACTAGTTCCATCGCATGTAATTATCCTTGATTGTGATCCATTTGAAAAAGAATAGTATGGGTCACATATATATTCCGTTGTATTTGAATCCTTCAAATACTTTGAAGCATGCAGCAAAGATGGTGTTTCATCACATAAGTACACTAAAGAAAATAAAATCATACTTTTAAGTATTCTAAATTTAACTGAACTAAGTAGAGAAACTTACATCAGTTTATAAAAAAAGTTATAAGTTAAATATTCAACCATTTCCGTTTATATAATAACTAACTTATTTTTTTAAAATTATTTCTTTGCCTTTTTTATAAACACTTTTTACTTTAACATACTACACATATGGCGAAAATCAGAACGAAACAGAATTTGTCCAAATATTGTACAAATCAGAACTTGCGACAATGAGACAACTCTCCATCCAAGTCACATGTATAAAAAGTTAACAATTATAGGTCAAAGTACGGCCTTCAACACGGAGCCTAGGCTCACACCGCACAGCAAGCTATAAAGGGCCCATAAATGACTAGTGTAAAACAATTCAAACAGGAAAAACAACGGTCTAATCTATATAACAAAACGAGATACGAGAAACATTTATGAACCACACCAACAAACGACAACCACTGAACTGAAACCTATTTGAAGTAATGCAACATAAGAAGCATTTGTCAGAAAAAATTAAATATATATTAAATAAGCTGTAATGTTTATGTCGATGGGATGTTCCAAGAACCCGTTTCATTCCATTATCATTTTGACATATAATAAGATAAAATTTAAATTATATAAGGACTTATTATCACCTGAGAAAAATCTGAAAAACCGAACATGTCAATATTGAAGAAGACAAAAATAGGAATTCTCGCGTTTCAGAATATCAATCATGTATTTAATTTTGTTTTGCTTTCATTAAATACATTTTTTATTATTATTTGGTAAATTTAAATCTGCTTAAAGATTTACTTGTGGTAAAATAAAATTGTAAAATCGTATGTCAGTGAGATGTGAACAGCATAACTAAAATCATATTGGCTAGCTGTCTCATTCGCTTATACTCCTAATTTCTTACCATTCATATTTACAAGCAACAAACAAAGAAAATGTTGATACTCAGGAGAAGTGATGTTATAAATTGGTATTTATTGTTTAAAGGAACTTGGATTGCTACTAAAATACAACGAATCAGAATTTAATCGTTGCAAACACATCAAACAGTACGCATCAGTCTGAATATAAAGATAAAGAGATGCGGTATGATTGCTAATGTGACAACTATCCAACAAAAATCAAATAAAGTGGATGAAAGCAATTATAGGCAAACATGCGGCCTTCAAAAATGAGAAAAACCCATACCGTATAGTCGGTTATAAAAGGCCCCGACATGAAAAATATGAAACAATTCAATTAAGAAAAGTTCAAAACCTCAAGATGTAACAAAATAGATCTTATTATTAATTTTTTACCCAGCAGAAAACAATAAACTTGCGGAAAAGATGGTATACCGCAAACATGAGATGCAAAACTGTGTACACCATAAACGGATTTCGACAATTAATGTCTCTTCAGTGATGTTAGGAATCGAAACGGTATTTGGAAGGCCATATAATTTACCTCAATTTAGGATAGACTCTTGAATTTTGAAAGAGTCAAAATAGGATGAACGGATCATATAAACCCGAAGGCAAATATAATACAAGCCCAAACGAAAAAATATAAACAAGTCTAAATTGAAAACAACGTTCAAACCTATGATTGCGTTGGATAAAAACCGTATTTTTTAAACGTGTGCATGCAAAACAAATTTCTTGGTAGAGGGGTCTAAATACAGCACAAACAACATTTTTCAAAAGACCAAATGAGTGAAAAAGTATATTTTAACAAAACGTATTTGACTAGCAGATCGAACAACTGATGTTCTTAAACCCTGCTGACTGCCATTGGCGATTGCCAAATAAACGGATCACAAGATGTAACAAAATAGATCTTATTATCAATTTTTTACCAAACAGAAAACAATAAACTTGCGGAAAAGATGGTATACCGCAAACATGAGGTGCAAACATTTGTACACCATATACGGATTTCGACAATTAATATCTCTTCAGTGATGTTAGGAATCGAAACGGTATTTGGAAGGCCATATAATATACCTCAATTTAGGATAGACTTTTGAATTTTGAAAGAGTCAAAATAGGATAAACGGATAATATAAACCCGAAGGCAAATATAATACAAGCCCAAACGAAAAAATATAAACAAGTCTAAATAGAAAACAACGTTCAAACCTATGATTGCGTTGGATAAAAACCGCAGTTTTTATACGTGTGCATGCAAAACAAATTTCTTGGTAGAGGGGTCTAAATACAGCACAAAAAACATTTTCCAAAAGACCAAATGAGTGAAAAAGTATATTTTAACAAAACGCATTTGACTAGCAGGTCGAACAACTGATGTCTTAACAATAATATTAAGTATGGTTTTGATTAACTGAAACCAATATCAATATATTTATACCAATTAAAACACTATTCAAAGATCTATTTACAGTGTTGAATTAGTAACCTTTTAGAATAAGTTGATTTGAAGGATTGATTAGTTTACCCGGATCGTATCTAAATTTCCAGACTCGGTAAAAACATCATCGTAAAATTAGGGATGTGCTATTCTGTTTGAAATAAGTTTTCTGTAGGTACAGCCAAACTTGCTAACCAAATCTTTGTATCGATGGAAGAATTTAGTAAAGGTTTTATGTACTTTGTGGTAACGAAATCTCTGACTTAATAATTTACCAGTAATACATAGATGACGCTCATTGAAATCCAAAACTTCATTACAGACACGGGCATAGCGAACGAGTTGGGATATATAACCACCGTAAGACGGTGCCAAAGGAACATCACCGTCCAAAAATGGAAAATAAACATAGGGAAAAAGAAAAATCAGTCCTTTTGTCGTAAATTTTTTGTGTAGAGTTTCTGTGTAAAACGGAAATATCTAAATCTAGGAAAGGACAGTTATTGTTGTTAACATTTGACTTATTTAAAATAAATTCCTTTTAGTAAATGTCGGCTGTATATTTAGAAAACTCTTGATTAATGAACGAAACAATATCATCAAGATAATGATAAGTGTTGTTGTATTTGTCAATTAAATGAAATGAATTCAGACGGATCTTTACTGAGTTTAGCGATAAACTGTATTTCATAACAGTACAGGAACAAGTCTGCTATTAAAGGGGCATATTTGGTGTCCAAAGGAATACCTACAACCTGTCGATAAACTTTATTGTCAAAACTTACATAAATGTTGTCAAGGAGGAAATTAACGGCTTAGATCATCTCATCACACCTCCAGTAAGTATATCTAGCATATTTACCTTTCTCATTTGAGAAAAAGGCTTGATACGAGTTGCAGGAAATACATTTGCTATCAGATTTATCAAACGACCATTTAATTAAATAGGAAAACTTTTGTTTGATGAGATTATGCGGAAATGTAGGATAAAGAGAGGAAAAGTCAATACTGAATCAAAAGGACCTTAAAAAACGTAATTTATCAACAAAAAAAACAAAGAATTTTTTACACTTCAAAATGGATAATTCCACTATTTCAATATGTTTTATTACAAAAACTAATGATAAGTTCTTTGATAGTAGTTAAGGAACGCGTTAAATGCACTGAAAGATAGGTAGTAGAACACTTACTAGAGGCCGAGATGATGGGGACCATCAAATGTTCAGAACAGGCCTTAAGCTGTGATGTGATGGTGACATGATTATTTACCATATGAATCTATGTGGAGCGTACGGCATTGAATGTAGTTGAATGTATGATTTCAATCTTAAGGACTTCCGTGTAGTATTTACATCTCATACCATCACCACAGTGTTGGCTGCTTTGTCGGCTGGTACGAACACAAAAGCTTTGCGAGTACTTGAATGTTAATCCTAGAAATAGGCGTATCACTTACTATTATATTTATTTCTAAGTTATTTTCGAAATGTGATATGCCAAGATCAACAATATTCAGACATTATTTTATCTAAATAGGAATCAAGTAACTTTTTGTCAGATTTCTCACGTTTGCACCATTTTTTACAATTGGATGAAAGAGTATCTTTAATAACCTGACAACACCTTTCCCAATTTATTTTCGACGGTGGACGATATTTTGGTCTTTTTTTCAGAAAGTTTATAACCTCTCGGTCTTGGGCGATGTTGAGGTCCCCTATTATTACATTGACATAGGGATCATTTCTAAACTTCGATGTTTCACAGTCTCATGTTGATGGAGCATTATTTTGTATACTGACGTCTGATGTAACTGACGTACAATTAAAAATTAAACTTCTACTGGTTTTTTTATACGAATAAGAAATTATAGGAGGCTCTATGCTATCAAAATATGGCGGTATAAAGTTTTGAACGGTAAAGTCATGAAAAATACCAGACAAATTAATAAAAGCTATACCTCTATTAATGTATTATATTTTTAGAAACTACTTTTTATGATCTTCAGGTTTGTCAATTTGAGGGAACAGTCCATTAAGTTTACTTTGTATTACATCTTAAACATACGTTTAACGACATTTAAAGGTACCAATTTCACTGCATCTTCGACAAAAAATATTTCTTCAATGATTTTATTTTAAATTCCAAAATTTAATACAAACTTTGAAGTGCTAAGCAGCTAATTAGCAACAAGGAAATGAACTCTGATCTATGAATAATGAAGAAATCATTTCCTAAATTTAATCACTGCAAATTGAAAAAAAAATATAACCGTATGTGTTTTTATACTACATGTACCCTTCATTTTAATATACTGGGCAACTAACAGCCCAAAAGCAGAGATATAAATTCTCACGGTTATATAATATTTAATTGAACCAAGTACACTGCACTAAATGACCATTTGATTGATTGGAGATGTTTCAATTCAGCACAATTGGCAATATTGTGGTGGTCATTTTTTATTTGTGGAGAAAGCCGAAATTCCATAAGAAAACCACCGACCTTCGACAGGAATACTGACAATTCTAGTCAATTAGAATCCTACTCATTTTGACAACAAGTGTACTTTTAGCGATCTTAAGGCAAAAGGGTTTATAAAATAAAAAATCTAACAATCTGAAAATTTCGTTCAAGCAATACCCGTATTTTTTCAACATGTTCATGTACAACAAATTATGTAAATACCGAAGTATTGACCTACTGAGATGGTAAAATCCTTTAAAGCTCCATCAACAGAGGCATCAACCCAATGGTAATAAAACTGAGAATGGAAATGGGGAATATGTCAAAGAGACAACAACCCGGTCAAAGAGCAGACAACAGCCGAAGGCCACCAATGGGTCTTCAACGCAGCGTGAAAATCCCGCACTCGGAGGTGGTCCTCAGCTGGTCCCTAAATAAAAATGTGTACTAGTTCAATGAAAATGGACGTCATACTAAACTCCAAAACATATAAATGAACAAAATTAAAAAACATTCAACACTAACAAAGGCCAGATGATTCTGACTTGGGACAGGCGCAAAATGCTGCGGGGTTAAACATGTTTTGTGAGATCTCAACCCTCCCCCTATACATCTAGATTATGTAGAATAAAGTAACATACAGCGATACGCACAGTAAAACTCAGTTTAAAAGAAGTCCGAGTCCGATGTCAGAATAGGAAACAAAAGAAACTAAGCTAAATGACAATGAAACATAAATTAACAAAGGACTACTAGGAGTTACTGACATGCCAGCTCCAGACCTCAATTAAACTGATTGAAAGATTATGTCTTCATCATATGAAAATCAAGTACAATCCCTCCCCTTAGGGGTTTAGTATCATACCATCATAAAATATATGAGAAGAACATAACCCGTATCATGCCAGCAACTGGTTTAAGCATAAATGTGTTTATTTCAGATGCAAAGATCCTATGAGTGAATCAATATTAATACCAAAATATGCAATCCTTAATGACTTGACAACAGTATCGTTACTATATCCCTTCTGTTTAAAGGTTTGGTTAGCTATTGATGTGAATGCCGACATTTTTGTGCCTAGTAAGGAATATTACCATAAAAGATTGGATGTGAAATACCTGAACGTATAAGATGTCTGCATGTTAATTTATATTTACGAATGATGTCTATATTAAATGGTAGTAATTGTACGGCATCAGAAAAAAAATCGACAAACAATATATCATTAGTGATTAACCGAAAATGACGAAATGTATTAAAAAATATAGCAAGGAGTTAAGATGTGAGCGTTATATATCTTAGTTTTAGAAATGAAAAATAGTTCACATACATAGAAGCAAAGATAAGGCAGATCACACTCTAAGTGGAAGACGGATATTAATACAAACCATCACAATGCTTTAACGTTACATCCCACATGCCTGTCTCGTTACATGTAACGTACTGTGTTGTGTCATTTTGTGCTGTTACAAAGTAATGATCACATGTTACAGCTATGACAGTTTGGACGTAATCTTCGCTAGAATTCGCCTTCGCATTCGATGGTATCTGTAGCTGGTTACAAAAAGCTAGAAATAAAAATATTTTAAAAATATAACTATGGACTTATACTTTCCCCATCTCCCTAAAATGGAATACTGTTCTCATTGTTGGCATCTATGTGCTAATATTTTGATCATCCTTATCAGCACAAAAAGAGACAGAAAATACCAAAGGGACATTAAACATTAAATTAAACAGACAATATCACGCTCAAAATGGAGACAACGAGGAGACAAACAGTTTACAAAAGGGCTGATAATCATGAACCATATTATCAACCAGGGTTGTTCAAAAAGGACTAAAAGATCCTACTCCTTAGTGACATCATTCATATTTAATATGGCAATTACAAATTCCGTGAGAAGTCGCATTCGGTGATGTACAAATCGGAGAAAAGATGACGGTATTCGAAGGGACAATCTATCCCATACACGCAGCTGTAATGTGTTCATCAAAATTTGGTCATATGATAGTGATAATCACTTTACATCTTCCGTGTGCTCATGAGACCTCACCTGTGATTATTCTCATATTTGCATTTTGTGTCTTTTTTGTTATGAGGGATGTGATGTAAAAATTTCCTGTCCCGTTCGGTCTGTGTTCTTGTTAGTTGTTTTTCTGTTTTGTATCCATCTGATGAGCTAAGCCCTTTCAAATCAGATTGATAGTTTGTTCTTGTGTTGAACTGTTACACCACTGTCTTAGGTTTGGGAGAAGTTTTGGTGCCAGAAAACATGTTTAACCGAACCACATTATGTATGTGCCTGTCCCAAGTCAGGAGCTTGTAATTCAGTGGTTGTCGTTTGTTGCTGTATATCGTATTTGTTTTTCGTTTGTTGTTTTGTACATTAATCAGGCCGTTAGTTTTCTCATTTGAAATGTTTTACATTTGTTATGCCAGGGCCTGTTATTGCTTACTATGCGGTATGGGTTTTGCTTATTTTTGAAGGCCGTACGGTGACCTATTATTGTTAACCTCTACGTCATTTGGTCTCAGATGGAGAGTTATCTAGTTGGCAATTATACTACGTCTTTTCATTTTTATTATCAAGGAGGAATATTAGCTTACAGTCATAAACATAAAATTGCTATTCATAAATTTGATAAACGCCTGTTCCAGTATACAAATATGCTACGTTCTGCTTGGTTTAGCTAGCTATAAAACTATGGTTAACCAACCCTTTTTTCGTTAAAAGCCTGTACCACAGTTTTTTTCCCAGTAATACCCTTGGTTGATGTAGTCGAGCGTTTGGTTTTGTCAGATTTTATTGAGTTCCCTTGTTTGAATTTACATTTGATTTCTTTTTAATACTTCTGTATATTTGTTAACACATTTGTTATATTGCAGAATAAATCCTGATACATGCAAAATTTAAACTGTAAAAAAACGCAATGTGGATGGATGACAAGTTATATAATAAAATAGTGTTCAAGTGCAGAAGATGATTATCTGGCAGCAATGTCAAACACCTTTTGGTCAATGGAAAGTATGGGCTGGTGAATGAGAACTATGACTTATGTTTTGTAATTTCCTTTCTAGAAAGAAAAACAACAAAATGTACGTACCTTCACACATCAATATATCTTCTGACCATTTATTATCTTGTAGACAAGTATACGACTTTGTGACGTTTTTATCTAGAAACCTGCCATCAATACATGTATCCGTCAGAGTTGACTTGAATGTGTAAAATCCGGGTACAGGCATGGTATAGTTTCTGGTAGCTTTATACTCTGTAGGAGGATCGGGACATAGTTTTTCTAAATATAAAGAAAATATATTAGATAACGGCATATCGTGATATATACATAATTAGTAGATATATTTATGTATATCTTGACGCTTCTCGTTATACGGTATTAATGACAGAACTGTAATAGCTTATGTTCGATTTCACCAGTGAGCGTTTGATAACTTAATAAATGTTGCTAACATCTATGTATTGCCAGAGCACTGTTAAACCTTTAGATTATCTTTTATACTATTATTTTACCGTCAAGTGTGTTTGTCCTATACTGATTTTATTCTGTGTTTTTCATGCACATTTATTAGTTTTAGTCGTTGGGTTGATGTCTTATTAACATATGTCCCGTATCTCTGTTAATCCGGTTGGTTGCTGGCAAAGTACATTCAACATGTAGTTAAGCAATGACATCGAATTAAGCACTATCATCTTTTTGTCATATTGACAACTTCATTTAGAATTATTAAATTGCTGTTTAGTTGTGTTTTTTTTTTTTTTTTTTTTTTTCGTTTTGCAACTTTGTGTGGTCTACCAAATATTAAGCATTGCAAAAGTCATCAACGGTGTATACACTTAATCGTATTAAACATGTATTTTAAAAACCTTTCTTAACCATAGAAATATGTGTGAATTCACCATGTTAACCAAAAGCAAAACGCCATGTAGACAAAATTACACTCGGTAACAGTTTTACAGCCTCTTTTCTTAAACATTTTTTTATTTCGTTGCCTTAAACTCAATCTAAATTTGTCAGAACATATTTCAAAATCCACTTAAGAAACCTCTGAACAAACTTTAAAAATACAATATCATGCTTCGAATGCTGGAATATTTGTACGTCACAGAGAGCAGTACCGTATTTTTGTCCCTTATAACAATAAATTGCAATAACAAGAAAAACAGCCGCATGAAATTTTGTAACAGTTTAAATTTCACCTCCTGTTCAGTTTGGTGATTTATTTTGTTGTTGCAATGGATAATCTTCATGATATTCAAATTTATTTATATTATAGTGATGTCTCAGGAGATTAAAACTGGAGTAACTTAACCATTGATATGGATATAAAAATCATTTCATTCGTTAATTGTATGTCGCAAAATATGTTTTAATAGTTTATTGAAATTATAGACAACGAAAGTTCAATTATTTTCATCAATTTCTATTTTTCACATACTTCTTTAGTTCAATCCTGTTTTATTACAAATATCTGCTATTTATCGTTTTACTACTAGTATTTGAAATCAATTAAAACATATTTTATATAGATTCATACCATATGTTTTGTGAACTAACAGTCTGTTGTTAGTGTTGCATGTTTGGTTTTCAGAGGACCCGTATGTAGACGGCAGGGTATTCCAGCAATAACAATTTGTTGAATTATCTAAAATCAAATTATGTATCGTAGTATATGAAAAAATGTAGGTAGGTTAATACGAAATTGAACGAATGCCTTTATATGTTTTATAGTCGCAATCACGGACTAGATGTTTTTTGGCATTGCACTAGTGTATCAATTGACTAAAATCATGTTAAGCCCATGAGATCGTCCCCGGTTTTAGTTGGGTCCGTGTTGCTCAGTCGTCAGTTTTCTATGATTTTTTTTGTGGACTTGTTCTTCTTTTTGTTTTTTTGTTTTTTTCTTCTTTTTTTGGGGGGGGGGGGGGGGAGGGGGTGGGGGGGTTGGGTTGCCATGGCGATGTGAGTATTTATCGAGTCGTGAGTGTTTAATTTCCCCTTGTTATCGTCCGCATTTTTTTTGAACTATGTGATAAACCCTCATTCCAGCTATCGCCCATCTGAAAAGGTTACTACTGTTTAATTTTCTTCGATGTCTATTCTCAGGATATATATATAGGTTTATATGCATTTATTGCTTTAATGTTTTACTTCAATTACTTTATATATGTCATGTAGGCACAGATATAATTTCAATTAAAATTTCCCCCTTCCATCTAAGAAAAAAAAACAACATAGATCAATCAGTGGCTAAGTGTGTAATCGATGTTTGAACGTTGATGAAACTTCTGAAAACTATACAGATCCGTTATTTCTGAGTACGGCTGCATGATGCAGTTTTGAATTTTTGAACAAATCACATTCTTGTGTATTCAAAATACTAGGTAAATTATATTATGTTTACACCATAGATCAATCAGATGCTAGATGTTGTATCGATGTTTGAACGCTAATGAAACTTCAAAAATATTTACAAATCCGTTACTTCTGAGTAAGGTAGCATTATGCAGTGTTAAATTTTGACACAAATCATATTCATGAGTAATTAAAATACTAAGTAAATTATATAAATTTTACACAACTTGAGGATGACAGCTAGTTTATTATGCACATATAAAAACTTTAACTATTTCAAATGCAAAAACGTGTCTTACTAATGATGTATTGGTATATACAAATCTACAATTACCTATGTAAAAACTGCATAATGGATAACCAGACTGCAGGCATGATGTTTTACATTCATCTAAGCTAGAGGCAGATGGTGAGCTGGTATTGCTTCTAATTTCGTCCGTCACAAAATAGCATTTCACTACCGACTGACTATCTGTTTTACGAAAAAAAAAATTAAAGACTACCACTCTCGTTACTTTGTTTTTTTCATTATGTGTATATGGTATATAGATTTACGACGAACATTGTATTCCACAGTACAGAAAACAAGATCAAGTACATCTTGTTAATTGATTCGATGCTTAATTTTAAAAATTATGATGTAAGAGCATTTCGGAGTGTACTATCGAAGAACATAGTTTGTAGAAAATCTGGTTAAGGCTAAATAATTTATATGGTGCTTCCATTAACGTTTAGACACTTTACAATGATACGGAATCTTAAAACGTACCTCTTGCGTCAAAACACGTCGTGTGGTCGTGCCTTCTGTCGGTCAACTGGTCGACATTGGGTTGGGGAATGTTAACCTCTAGAAAGAATGGGTGACGGTGTTTTTGTACTTTTGCCTGTCCAAAGGTAGGGAAACTCGTCGGTAGGTTTTTTTTCTGTATCTTTTATTGTTTGTCATCTGAATGATTTGGTAATCATAACAGATACTGGATGGTTGATGTTCAATTTATTCACAACTTTTATGCCTGAGGACAATTTGGAGTTGTACAATTTGGAGATATGTATAGTAAAATAGACGATCTACAATGTTGTTGCATCTTAATGTCATTTTTGGTTTTTTTTTTGTTAATTAGTTCATGTTTGAAGTGCCTTTCCCCCCACATTTTTTATATATGTGGGTTACTAGCCTCCGATAACAACTAATGGCATATGCTGTTAAAAATTGTATTGTTTTAAAAGAATAAAATTTAGCTCAGAGTCTTATATATATCTTAATTCTTACTTCTCATATTATTAATACCTTAATTTTCTAAGTCACCCACTTTTTTCAATTAATACTATACACATTGTTAAGATAAAGTGTCTAACCGTACTGTTTAGGAAGAGATAAAACTTACAGTTATATGACGACAGAGGTTGGCCAAGGATGTCTACTCGCAAAGCTGGCCAGTTGTTCCAATCGGTAGGGTATATCTTAAATTCTCTTGTGATGATGGGGTTAGAAAATATATTGTACTTTAGTGAACTTCTATCAGTATTGCCTTTGAACTGTAATAAAAAAAAGAAAAATGTAATAGATAAAATACCACACTTAATCAACCACAAACATTTGTCAACCCCATGGCATGTTACTTAATAAGTATCTATATTTAAACATCAATAGGTGATACTTTGTTTTTTTCTTTTCTAAAAATGACCATATCAAGCAAGTCTCAGTTGACTCGTTTGTTTGTTTATACTCGTTTGATAAGTATATGTGTGCTTCCTGTGGACATAAAAAAGTTAAGGAAATATATCTTATTTTATTTGTTTTTTGTTGGGGATGGACATTATTTATCTTTGCTAGTAAGAGGCAATATAAATAAGTGATTCCGATAACAATCGATACATTTCTTATCTCTAATTACTCTGTTTAAAGTTGCATCATATTCCATAATGTACCCTCAAAGTATGTACATGTATATTGTGATTACTTGTAATGTTTCTGTAGATGCTTTTCACTTACGTTCACAGGATTTCCTTCATGACTATATGTAATCTCCTGCTCACTTACGTCATCCCAGTATTTAAAAACAAATCGACGGGTCCATTCGTTGTTTTTACCTAATGGATTACCTGAAGTTGGGAAAAAAAATCGAATTACTTTTAATTATTATTGTGTACAAAGTTAATTTGCTAGCAATAGTCGATATTATTGTTCTTTTCATGTGAAGCAACGCAGTCATTTCAATGTATGGATGGGTTTTTTTAAATTGACCAAATCGAAATTGTTAATACTTAATAGTGACAGAAAACAACAGGATGACATGTAACTAGATAAATCACCGATCAAAAATATATAGACACATTCCAAAAGATAAAACAAACTCTGATATCAATCAAAATGTTCTCAAATTTGTAGACCGAGATAATAGGGAAATACATATTCGTGGGAGTTGCAGCATGTAAATATATCTGAGATACATTTCAAATTATTAAAAATTCTATAATTTAGATTGGTTTAAAACAGTATGTGAATTATAATGCTATCTTACCCTGGGTAACCAATCCAGTGATGATTACATCAAATGGATAGGTAAACGTCAAATATTGACTACCATTAAATGTTAATGGTTTCCAAGAGTCTTCTTCCTCATATGGCCATTTCAATCTGGTTTAACAATATAACGGGAAATAACAAAACATGTGATTGATTGAAGCACACATATATAAATATGGACAACGAATTAACACTTCTACTATCAATTCACAAAAACATTAAAAACATATAGTATTATTTAAAAGAATAAAATAAAATAAAATAAAAATATTGCATTGAAAATCATGGTTGTTTCAAAAGGGTTATAAGAATTCTCGAATCAAAACGCTAAAGAACGAATCCGTTTGATTTGAAACCCTTTTTTGTTCAAATACTCGTATAATATTTATACTTTGTTATTCGCAAACTTTTGGTATCAGACGTAACTGATGAAGTTTAATTTAGAAATAATTTTGAGCGCACTGTAACAAGTCCTTCTTTACATTTTACATTTTAAAAGATGTACCTATCGGCATATTAACGGTAATTCACAAGAAGAGTTTGAACTTTTAACCTTTTTGAAACAACCATGGTTTTCAATGAGATTCGTCTACCAAAATTTTAGTTTTTAGTTTTTTTAGGACTAATCTTATTTCTTTTTCTTTTTAATGTCAACCGTGCTGTTTGTCATTATTCGACTTATGATTTCGATTTCGTTGAAGTCAAGTAATGTGGTTGAGATGTTTTGTCATGGGTGCATTAAATGTGTTAGATGACAGTTGACATTAGACTTGTAAGAATAGACGCGTGATATTTATATCAGATCCTTACAGTTTAAGTGGATTTTTGAAACTTACATGCAAGGACGTGGAATCATGATGAAAATCATTGCAAAAAAAACAATTTTTAATTTCAGGAATATAACAACATAGCTAAACATACCGTTTGTATATCAAAACAATTGACGATTTCAATGTTGTACAAATATTTATTAGATATGTATATTTAGATTCAACAATTTTTAATTTCAGGAATATGACAACATAGCTAAACATACCGTTTGTATATCAAAACAATTGACGATTTCAATGTTGTACAAATATTTATTAGATATGTATATTTAGATTCAGAACATGATAGACTAGTCAACAATTATGAAGGAAGGAATCCCACGTTTTATTTTCGTGAACAGCAATAGTTGACATAAAAACTCTAATTAAACTGGAATCCATTGTGTGAGCCTATATATTAAAAATGTAATTAAATGGTCCTCTCACATTAAAATGAATGTTGTGGGGCTAAGTAGTTTTCATTTTTATTGTATCAGTTTGTTTGTTAAATAATTATAATCGATTTTTGAAGACTACTGTATTGATAAAACATAGTCTTTTTCTTATTTGATGTTGCTAGAATCCAAACACTAATCATAAACATAAATCAATAAAAATTGTTACTTGAAATTCAATACTTTCATAAAAGCGAAAGATAAAATCAGATAAAAACTAGTTGTCTCAGAAAGGTCAGGCGTATTCTGCTTATTTTTAAAACGCAAATGCGCTAATAAATATATGACCTTAGTAAACGCATATGTTAAGTTAAATTTAAATCTTCAGATAAGGGTAAAGTCTACGATCTTTTGATACCTGTATAGTATGATCTGTCATTTAACTTTTAAGTTATACCGATTAGGAAAATTTTGACTGTATGTGGATTCGTACGGCCGGTGATACATGCATATCAGGAGACACTTACCCTGTCAACGTAACCGGTCTAGCTCTATTTTGACTACATTCGTTTTCCTCAGTCTTTGTTTGTTAGCTTGATTTGTCTCTTCTTAATCAATTTGAACATCGATAATCTACTATGACCTTAATTAAACAGTTTTAGAATTAATTCCGAATACATGTATTAGCAACTGAAATTCTTTACCTTGATTTTATGGCATCGTGGTTAGACATATGTGGTGACGAATCTAAAATAGGCAGCACAGAAATTGGCATAAATGATTCATCTGTAAATAAAACAAAGCATATTCAAAGCCGTGAAATACATATTTAGAACTTTTTCGCGACGAAATGTGCAGGTTATATTTCACTGCGTAATATATATTTAGCTGATTGGGATAATACACGCGAAAAATGACTTTAGTATACAATAATTAAGATGTATACAACATAAACTTGATTGACTGACGGAGAAAAGGTAACACCAAAATACGAGAGCTACAAAAATACATAATTCGGAGATCATTCAAGGAAATAAAATCATGACATCGCGGATGCTAACAAACAAATGAAGGTTTTGATCATTTTTGTTATGGCATAACTGTTTATTTTATTTTATTTTTCATTATAGGCAAAATGTTTCGGTTAATTTACTGTTCTGAACATGTCACTGGTTGTTGACAAAAGGTATGCTATGTATGATTAGCCAGTTTAATTATTATAAAAACACAGATTTCAATTTAATATGCACATTGTTGTGATCTGTCGATCAACACAAAAGATTGTTTTCCATATAAAGTTATTACAACCTTAGGGTGAAAAGAGTTTACATATCAATCTTGTGTATACTCGACAATTGACAGTATAATATATGAAATGTTTAAACAGCGATAAATCTTCGAATATGCAGGAAAAATCAAACACAAGCGAAAAAAACCGATACACGGTATCTTAAAGTTTATTCAATACTGTTCAAATGGAAATAATCCTTACAATATTATCTAATTTTCTCTCCGATTAACGTTTCTCTCTCATGTGCATGCACTGACTGTTCATTGCTCTATAATATTGTATTTCATTATTGTATTGTCATAAACAATCATTGTATGAAATTTAAAGCTCACAAGGGTCCATGATTAGTCAAATAAAGAATATCGATTTCTATAAGTTTCGTGCACCCGATGCGCTTTTCTCGAATAACCTTAACATAATTGATCAAACCTAAACATTTGAAAGCTAGGAGTGTATACATACGTAGAAAAGTTGGAAGCTTATGAACAAAAGGTACATAAAAAGATAAGCCAAATTTATCCATGGTCAACTTTTCATTTGGAGCAGTCTTTATTAATTCATACATATTACCATTTGTGTATACATATAAAAAAAATAACCAAACAAAATGTCTTCAGGTGTTTTTGCTTTTGTGTCAATATCTGCTGTTACCGACACTGACTTGAAACATAGCTTTATATCGTATCGACCTTGCGTTAAACAAATACTGCAAATGTTTTGCCATTCTTCATGAAGTGGATGTCGTAATTCTTACACACTTTCCATTTATTTTGCAAGAACGAATGAAATTCATTTCGAAAAAGGTAAATCGGATAAGATAGAATTGGATGATCTTGGTGTCGATGTACCAAAGTGACATTTAAGTTCCTGAGCAAGTCCATTGTAGCACTTTTTGTAGAGGGTTGTTGTCATTTTGAAAACATGCTCTTCGTATCGACAGTTTGCGCATTCGTTTACATTTGACATTCCACAAATCAATTAAGGTGCCATGGATGTTAACCAACACTGGTCTTTGGTTGGATATTCCTCCCACAGCATGAATCTTGATCAAATTCTTCCACACATCTTTGCGCAAAACGTTCTTTTTTACATCTGTATAAATGAATGTGACTATCACCGCTTTAAATGCATAAATCTTGCCAACTTACTTTTCCAAAAGTCATGTTTGTGTTAACGATTGCATATGCGTATTGTGTGTGTTCAATTATACAGATGCTGAGAAATATGACACGAAAGAATGTTCAATTACATTACATTTGTCGGTTTCAAGAAGTTTCAGATGAAAATTCTTCTATGACTGCTCTTTTTATCACCTTTCATCTAGATTTTTACAATGCAAACAACCTAGTATGTACTGTCACATATTGTAAAAAGTCAAGTAGTTATTTATTCTGACTTGTATTACAAATCAACTGACGAATTTTCAAATCATTCACAGAAAATCATATCTACTGTCATTCAGGCATGGGGTAATGCAAATTTGTAATTGTAATGCATGGTAATGCATTACATTTTTCCAAGTAATTGCATGTAATGTGTAATGCAGCAATTTGTGCATTACATGTTATTGTAATATAATGCATTACTTTAGCAAAAAGTTGTGTAATTTCATGCATTACATGGCATTACATGTCATTACGTTTTTCACATACTACATCTTTAACATATTGTTGGAGTTTTAACTAAACCAAATTTAAGATTTCTTGATTAACTAAGAATATGTAAATCATTAGAATATATTCTTTATTTCATCTTATTTCATACATTTCCCTGCATAAAAAGATTGATATTTGAAAATCATAACTGTATTGTTGTCATAAGATCAAAGAATATCTTGTCTTGCTTAAATAAAAGATAATTAAACTTTGTTATAAAACACTAATTAGTTTGTTTTACAATCAATACTTTCACCATTTAGACAATTGTTCATTAATTGTAAAAGTCGAATTAAATAGACTTTTTACATGTTTACTTATATTCAATTCATGGAACAGTAACTGCATATGCTAGAATCTTTTGTGACTTCTAGTTGTTTTTCAAAATGTTTAATTTTTCTATTCACTTAATAAAATTTTCAAATGCAATGTGTAATTCAAGGCATTACTTTGCAAAAGTAATTGTAATATAATGCATTACTTTGATAAATGCATGTAATTGTAATTGTAATATAAGGCATGGTTTGGTCAAAGTAATTGTAATATAATGCATTAAATTGCAATGTAATTCGCCCCATGCCTGCTGTCATTGTTCTGTTAAGCTTTATCATGTGTTTATCTCATTACAGTATTTCTAGGTCCCTTATAAACTTATATTATGAGTCAAATGAGCCTTGTGAACTTGAACAAAAAGAGACATAAACATACAAATAAAAATGAACCGAAGAACTCCTTTCTTCTACATATTGCTTTCACTCATTAAAATAAACCTTTTTTATATTCAATTGTTTGAAAATAGAAAGCCGCAAAATGCCTACTTCAGGAAGACAGTTTTTTTTTCATTCATGTAATCCATTTTAAGGCTGAAAGCTTAAAGGTGTTGTACCATAAGCAACATTCATTCAAAATCTTACCAGTTTCGAAACATTTTACTCTCTGGGACGTTGATGCTTTATGAGGTTTTATATAATACCAAGACGGTTCTGTTATTCCATATGCCGAAAGTTCATCACAAGATTCATAAATGTCCATGTAGAAAGCTGTAAAAAAGCAGATCTTTTACAACCTTAAAGATGAAACTGCGGTAATTACTTTCAAGTTCACAATTCATTTAACCGGCACCCTCCCCCCTCCCCCTTTTTCCGCCTAAGTAAAAAAACATTCTGATATATATTTAATTTCCGTGGTAAAAAAAACCGGATGACTACTCGCAGATTTTGTTAAACCTCATTATATTTTAGTGAGGGAGATATGCATAATTGACAAAAACCAATAACTTAATCATTTTTACACAAACAAATGTATGGAAATACATAGTCTTTAACAAAATGAAAGTGACTATATCATATGTCAAACCTCAACTTATCTGAAACACTAGTAGATACTGTGCCACATGGACCGTTTTGGGTTATTTTTCATTGAATTTGATTTTTTGTATTAAAATTTATATATGTTATTGGTACATCATAGAAAAGCAGTTGAATACTCCCGACTTAACTAATACTTTACTTTTGTATCTGACCGTACTCAAATACATAAACTAGCAATACATTAGTAATGTTTTTTCAATAAAGCCATTTACTAATAGCGATGTGTTCTGGTAAACGACAAAGTGGAGATCAATTTGTGTTTAGATATACGGATATAGTTAAAGGTCTGTTATCCTCAAATGTCTTATTTCGTGTTGTCTTGTTAACTTTCAGCTGTATTGATTAATTCCCTTAATCTCCTGTTACAAAAGAGCCAAAACATACTAATGTGATATCTACCTACAGATTCATAAATAATCACCATATCGTTTTAAAACGCTAATCATGATAATAGGCCTTTTAATAAAGAAACATATTTTGAAATAATAAACGGCTAAATATCCATTTGATATGCAAATCTCACAAATGCATTATGACAATACAAATCAGGCAAATAAAAATGAGATTATCAAAAAGACCAAAAAGGGAGATACCGGAAGCTTCGGCATCATAAACGGCTCCAGCTATACATGCATTTCCCGACGTGTAAATAAACTCATCATAGATACCAAGATTAAAACTGTTTACAACAGTCGCGAATTTTGTCTACAAAAGACTCATCAATGACGCTCGATTCAAAAACGTAACTCCAAAATATTAAAATTGTCAATGATCAGTCGTGTTGGAATAATATCCCCATTTAAATTGAATGCATCAGAATTTTAACATCAATGTTACATTATGAAATTTGACTTACAAACATTGTAAAGAGATATGGATTTAAGACTACCACAGGCCTGTGAAGTATAGCCGGGACATAGATGGCAAGGATCGGATGACAAAGTAAAATTTATGACATCATTATAACATTTGCAGTCTGTCTTATTTGTAATTGCAGCATATTCTGCATTCTGTCCAACACAATACTGGATACAAAATGTTGCCGACATACCGGAACTACTAACATTGGTAATTGCTAATGTGGTAACGAAACTATCTGTATCGACACAGCCAATGTATCCTGAAAAGAAATATTAACAAATTTGAAAGTGTTTGTAAATTTAGAAAATGAATTTTGTTGACTGGAAAAGAGCTATTGTAAGCATTTGTTTATGTCGTTAAGTAAAATGATACGCGCACTTGACAAACAACACTTATGATGTCTTTCATTATAATGTCACAGTCAGGCCTTTACTTCACAGCAAAAGCTTCCATTCAAATGCAAGTTCAAGACAACATCTAGCATCTAGCAACACCTGTGCATTGAAGAAGAAAAAAGAAGGTAAGATAAACGAATCATAAACTACAACGGATAATAATATCTAAAAAGTAAAATGAAAAAATACAGAACTCCAAGGAAAATTCAAATAGGAAAGTCCTTTATCAAATGGCAAAATCAAAAGCTCAAACACATCATACAAATGGAAAATAACTGTCATATTCCTGATTTGGTACAGGCATTTACTTATGTAGAAAATGGTGGTTTAAACCTGGTTTTATAGCTAGCTAAACCTCTCACTTGTATGACAGTCATATTGAATTTTATCATATTGAAAACAATGTGTACACAAAACAAACAGACATAATAGGTAAAAATGTTAAACATGTCAAATAATTATCAAAGGTACCAGGATTATAATTTAATCAAAATAGGGGTACAGCAGTCAACATTGTGTTATAATATTAATCACTATAAAAACAAACAAATATGTCAACAAAGAAAAACAAAATGGCATATAGACAAAGCACATAAGCAAAAATGAAAGACAAGAATTCCAAAAATGTACACAAATACTGTCATAGTTTGCCTGACAAATAGAAACAATACAAACAAAAATGTAGGAAACGAAACAGCATAGGAAACAAAAGGATAGACAACAAAATGGTAAAAATACAGAAGATAAGAAAACTAACAACTGTTCTACTATTCTAAAAGGATAACTATAGATAAGGGAGTCCTAACCGAACAATACAATTGTGGATGAAAACCCACAGAATCAACTTTCTGTTCCAGCAACATTAATAATTTGGTTTGCTGTAATATTTCCAGGTTTTCGATATTTTTGTTTATTTCAGGTTCATAATAGCCATAAGAAATTCAACAGAAACATTAAGTGATCATAATACTCGTCAAACATGGTAACTGATTGAATTTGAGATAGTTCAATATAAATAAGAAGATGCTGCATGATTGTCAACGAGACAACAATCCACAATAGACCAAATAACATAGTTAATAGCAGCTTTCTTTCATCACAAGTAAAAGATTAATTGTTGGTTGATTAAGATCCAGTGGTAAATTTTTCATGCATGTTCAGGACGAAAATAAATCAACAATAAATACAATAGGTAGGTCGTGTAATACAGACCGCCCGGGATGAAAGTCAGGGAAATTTCGAATAGGAACAGAAATGTTGCCTTGTAAGAGGCCACCTACGAACCCCTCAAAGAGTTGTTGCAACGGTTCTTAATGTACAATTAGTGAGGCTCTCTCTTAACAAGAGGCATCGAATTTAGCATTCCCATTCTGCCCGAACGTGTTTGCGTATTTGTACATCCTGCACAGCCAAACGGACGCCCCACTTTGGCAAGGGTTTTACTGCCGGTAAGTTGAAGACTTCTGTGACCATGTTTGTTTATTATCCACTCAGCCTTGTAGGTAGGAGTGAACGAAGCTATGTAAATGATTGTTAAGTCGTAATAGATCGGATCAGATTCAAGTAGTCGTGTTTATTAAAAATTAATCTGCATGTGTAAGTTATTGTTTATTTTTGTGATCAATGATGTAGTACTTTTTTCTTCAAAAACTTCGACCCGTACAGAACCATTTATAACTGTCATACAAATGAAACCCTAGTTGAACTTGATACGTGCAGAGAGAAGAAAAAACAGGCTATTGAAAATCTTTCCTTTAATTATAGCTTCCTGTAACAGTCCTTGGCCTATGTTGCAACATATCCTGGGACTTTGTTGCCTTCATCACTATCTTTGTAGACATTAAATTGATACTTCCCTACCTTTACTTTGGTGCGGATACCAGAGAATTTTTCCGAAGATTTTTTTTGATACTAAGGTTATCCTACTTTGCCTTGTGTTCTTTGGGGAAATTTAACCTCCTTTATTTTGTCTTTTTGTGTTATTTTGTCTATGTGGTTTCCAACAGCACCGGATAGAATTTAAAAAAGAAGTTCGTATCTGCATATGGCTCATGCAATTAAGTTTGACATCTCATATCTAAATACTTACGACTTGACGTCTGACACACAAATGGACTAGACGATAATTCGTGGTCAGTTGCTAAGAATCCATTAGTTTCATTTAACCATGTGAGATACACCCAGTGACCAAAAGTACCATTTTTTTCTAACAAAGCTTCATCAGCAAAGCGTTGACCATCACCATGCAAATATTTCTGGTTGCCAAATTGGTTGATTAAACTTGTCCAGTAGTAATTGAACGTTTTATACTTAAGAGCATTTTTCAGAATGTTTAGAAATTTTATGCTGGACATCGTTGGGGATACAAGAAAACTGTTATTGTTAATGCATACTTGAGCTGCTTCTTGATATGAATCAGCGGTAAAATTAAATCTAAAACAAGCACCTTGGTAGCCATACCATCCTGCTTCACAAATAGTTCCATCTAAAAACAAAAGTGAACAAATCTTTGTAGGCGTTTATATTATTCAGTACAAGGTTTACATGAAAATTCAATTTCTTTGAAAGGTTTTCAACATATTTGCATCTAATTCATGACTTCAAGCATATAGTTTAGTTTGTTTCAGTTCATCAAATCTTCAACAAAATTATTATATATGTTCATAAGATAGCTAGATATTTAAAAACTTGGGTCATTCGCAATTGTACATTAAATGTGTAAACAGGAAACAAAATATCTGCGTAGGTCGCTACCATTTGTTTATTAGTTTGTCGAATGATAAAGCAGAGTTGCAACTTTTTATTTGGCACGGGTATCTCGAAGCAATTTGCAGATCCACAATATCCATGATATTTGTTTTGATCGATCACGAAAAATAAATAAATTCACAAATATTTAGTAAAATCGTAAAATCAACTACTGTCATGATTGTAAATTATGAAAATTGTTCGATCTTTTTATTATTGCAAAAATAGCGACAGGATACGCATCGCAAAACAAATGATAGCATTATTTATATGCTTTGTTTATAGAAATCGTAATGATCAATTCCACATTTTTTCCATTATTCAAAACTCATAACAATGAATGCGCGCCAAAAAATTTAAATTTACTGTATATTGAACACCGTCGTAGATACTTCTTTGATATCAGTGGTGGATTATTTTTAACACAACGTTACTTAAAATATGATATTTAGTCACAGAAATACACTTTCAACAAAAAAAAGAAAGTACTTATATCTATTAGTTCTCCCATTCTTATTGTACTTGCCTGCGAATCCGCAATGGGTATATTCTAGTGAACCGGATATGTTTAGCACATATGTGTTGTTGTAGAATATCCCAAAGTTGTACAACTGATCGCATGACTGTGCTAAAGATGAATTTTCTATAATAGATAGATTT